CTAAGAGCATTGTGGGCAGAGGAAATAGCATTGCAAACCTGAAGGTCATGATATCTCACCACGGGAAAACAAAACTGCATTTCAAATAAACGATTCTTGTTTACCTGGATGTATTAATTGTATATATGCTGTGCTTATTCCTTCTGTATTCTTGGCTAAACAGGTAAATGGATGCAGGAAGAATTTACTTTCCACTGCCGAAATATTAAGCCGTGCGAGGACTGTACTCCTTCTTCTGTTTAAAGGATTCTCCACTCTGTTCAAAAGAGCAAGTAAAATGGTATAGATGGCATCAATTACAGAAACAATACATATACCTGGTTTCTCTCTTTGTTGCATAAACTGCAGCAGTAAGAATCACCAGCCTAAAGCACAGGTGTAAGAATAAGGCTGTAAGCAGCACACTGATCTGATATTTGATAGCTTTGGGACCACTTACTAGCAGAGAGAAATCAAATTAAAATTACAAGCTTTCAAAAAGAAAAATGGGGATGCAGGCATTTTGGGCTACATGGGGCACAGAGAATATATGAAACAAGAGTAGATCGAGACAGATGGGCAAGGTTCCTAGGTGATGCTAAGGGTTGGGAGTTTCTCCCTGGAGAAGTAATAGGGAGCCATCAGAGACTTGAGCAGGGGCGTGCTTTAGTTCTTGGTTGCATTTCATGAGTCTTTCGTAAACTACTTTGAAATGACATGAAGGGAAATTCAGGATGATTGCATCATTGGAATGTTGCAATTTTTAACTGAATTTAAGAGAAAGCCTTCCAAGTGGTCTGGAATTGGTACCATAATAACATGCAGTTCACCTGTATTGTACAAGATCTTATGAATCCTACTTAGCTTAGCAAAACTCAAGGGTCAATCAAAGACCCACTTGGAGAAGGAAATGGCAAACCACTCCAGTATTCTTGCCTGGAAAATCCCATGAACAGAGGAGCCTTGTGGGGTGCAGTCCACAGGGTCACAACAACTAAGCACAATGACCACTAATCCTTGGTGCTCACGCTTGCTTTGTTATTTAGCCACTCAGTCACATCCAACTCTTTACGATCCCATGGACTGTAGCCTCCCAGGCTCCCCGTCTTCCCAGGAGAACACTGGAGTGAGTTGCTACTTCCTCCTCCAGGAAATCTTCTCAACCCAAGGATTGAACCTGCATCTTCTGCATTGTAGGTGGATTCTTTATAAGTAAGCCACCAGAGAAGCCAGCCCTTGCTACCCTTGGAATTTAATACCACAGTTTGTCTAGGCCATGACTGACTCTCGGCATACTTACATTATAAAGTCTTCCTCTAGCACAGGAGTATATGTACTAATCATTGACCCATTCCACTTCCAGTAGACGTAGTTACTTATCCGGCCAGTAACATTGCAGATCAATTGAAGCCAGGATCCTGCAAAGCAATGTATTTTTAAATCATAACATTAATGGAGTCTGGTCTATCTAGATTAACAAATGACTGCTGAATAAAAATTTTAAAGTATAAGAAAGGAAAAGGAAATTGCTCTTACATCTACCACTGGTGACCATGATTAGTAACTTCATGTATCTTATTCCTTACCTTTCTGTGCACTATGCAGCTTTTAAAATGGGGCATTATCATCTACTCTGATTATTGAGAATTTCAGCTCACATGGTCAGCCTTCCAAAACAGGCTATTTCATAGTGGTTTAGTATTCCATCATACAGACATATTATGACAAGCTCCTTTCCTATTGCAAAACATAATTTCCTAATTTTTAATTATGATTGATATAACAATGAACATGCCTGTCCATCAACATTGTACATATCCTGAAATATTACCCTCCATTTTTTGAGGTTTATAAGTCAGAGATTGGGGAAATTTTTTGTTTGGATGGCTTTTTTCTCCCTTATTAATCCAATATATTTTTTAAAAATTTTGCTAAGATACTTTATTGACAGCTCTGTTGTGATAGGATCTCTTTTCCTGTTATGTTTACTTGCTGGTTTTTGCTAAACAAGTCTAATACTATAGTATATTAATTTTATATCTGGCCAGATAATACAATAATTATTCTAACTTTCCCCAGTAATTCTCTTGAAATTTATAGATATGTAATTATACAATCGAAAAACAAGAAAGTTCTTTTCTTCCCTACAGTCAGCAAGCCTTGGATCCTTTATCTTTGCATTAGTGGGCACTCCTGTAACAAGTTAAGTAACTGTTAACTGTTATAGTAACTGTTACAAGTAACAGTTAACTGTTCATATGGGCATCTTAGTCTCACTCTTGACTTCAATGAGAAGGTCGAGACCTGTATGAGGCTTAACACTATAGTGTTTCACAATTAAAAATGCTGGTGATGACTGGTTTGAATTCATGTTCTTTATCAAGTGCAGAGGGCTTCCTAGGTGGCTCAGTGGTAAAGGAGCTGCCTGCCAAGTAGGAGACACGGGTTTGATCCCTGGGTCAGGAAGATCCTCTGGAGAAGGAAATGGCAACTCACTCAAGTATTCTTGACTGGGAAATCCCATGGACATGGGGTCCAAACGAGTTGGACACGACTGAGCAACTAAACATCATCATCATCAAGTGCATAAAATGTCCCTCAGTTCCTAATTTTCTAAGTCATTTTATTGGTAATTAATGTGAAATTTTATCAAATAAAAGCTTGACTATAGCATAACCTTATGCTATGGTGAACAGGCCTCTGATCAATGTGATGTATTAAAATAATTATTTCAAATGTAGGAGGGAGGAGAAAGGGACGACAGAGGATGAGCTGGTTGGATGGCACCACCAATTCGATGGACATGAGTTTGAGCAAGCTCCAGGAGTTGGTGATGAACAGGGAAGCCTGGCGTGCTGCAGTCCATAGGGTCACAAAGAGTTGGACATGACTGAGAGACTGAACTGAATGTAGTTATTATTTTTAGATCTGTAGATCAAATCTAGGCTTTAGAGAGAGCTCTTAAACACACATTCCCAGAGCATGACTTATCAACAGGGAAGAATGTGCTTCTTAGCGAGCAGAGCAAAAAAACTTATCTATTGCAGTGGTCTGCAGTCTCTAAAGTGCCAGAGTACATATCTGGGCATTAAATATCTGAGAAAGTAAAGAGGATTGGGAAAAAAATGTCCTGTTAGGTGCTACAGGGGAAGAAAAAGGGAGGAAATAAAAGGTTGAAAACACTGCTCTGAAATCTACTGGCCAATATTTAAAGTCTTCATATCTTTGTTTACATCTATGAATATCTGTATATTACCTTCCAACATGAAGAACAACTTGGCCAAGTACAGAATTCAGAGGTCATGCATTTTAGCTTTTAATCTCTGTACAATTGTTCTTTGTCTTCATGAAGTTACCATTACAGAAAAGAATTCTATATGCCAGCCTGAATTTTGATCCTCTGATACAAAAGAAAAGTCTGTTTTTATGTTGGGACCAGTGGTTTCCAATAACGTTCAGTGTTGGCAAAAAAGTTCTATAGTTGTGCTGTCTGATACGTAGTCACTAGTCACATCTAAGCCAGTCAGTCCTTGACTGAGGGACTAATATTTAATTAAACTAAATTTACTTAATTTAAATTTAGTGTGGCTATGTACATAACCACACATGCCTAGTTGCTACTGTATTGCACAGCTTAGATGTGAATGCCTATAGTGTTATGTCTTTATTCTTAAAATAAAACATTATCACTAACTTGGAAAAATAATTCTCTAGAGTAATTTATTTTCTGGGTCTTACTCTTTTACCTAAAAGCTTAACTCTCTCAGGAAAAGAAATCCATCCTGTACCAAATATATTCCATTTCTTATTACTAGGCCTATTGAACTTGGTCTGTTTTATAAGATTTTTCTTTCTTTTCATGTAGAGCATTTTTAAAGTCTTTATTGAATTTGTTATAATATTGCTTCTATATTATGTTCTGGTTCTTTGGCCACAAGGCAGGTGAGATCTTAGCTCCCCTCCCAGGAATCGAACCCACACCCCTTGTGTCGTAAAGGGAAGTCTTAATTACTGCGCCACCAGGAAGTCCCTGAACTTGTTTTTCGGCTGGTGTCTTCATGAACATTAACTGTCCATAGAAAAGTAATGCTGAGTCAATGAGACGTGGCTAGATGTTTGCCATAAGAGGCAAGAAATCCAAAGAAACAAGATGCAACCTGTGTCACTTTCTAACTTTAGATACATGCAGGAACCAGCTTGGCTTGTATGCAGTAAAGGTACAGTTTATCTTACTCTCTAGTTCAAAAAAATACTGATTTTAGCATATCCTAATTGTAGCCCACTTACCCAAGACCACTTCCATCGTCTCGTTAGCTGGACTCACAATCTCGGGTTTTGTGTTCCTGGATTTCTCTGAAAGAAAAACACCCACAAGGTCTCTTGTAGATTCGAATCTCCAATGATGACAACACTTGGCAAAATATACCAAATACTAATATATACAACACAGCATCTGCCTCTAGGGGCCAAAGTATACATGGCAGGAGACAGAAGGCCAGGATTTTTATGAAGGCAGGAGGCTGACTCAGAGGTCACAGCAAAACCATAGCACCTCGGCCCTTCTGAACCCATAGAGTTTGGTGCTACAAAAAAAAAAAAAAGACCACAAATATCACCAGGCCCTGGGTCTCCGAACAAGTACATCTCTTCATGCACATCAGGAAAAACAAAGTGGCTTCCCTGGATGGAGCTTTATTAACCAGAAAGTCACCTAGTGCTAGATTTGAGTCTATTTAGTAATTTTCACAATAACCCAAGAGTGAGTTATCAAAGAATGCCACACATTTTGGCATACTTTATTAAAGTAGGCAGAAAAATACTGAGTCTCCAGAAAATAATCTGTCTTTTATTTTCAAGAAAATAGGCTTCAAGAGTTGGTCTAGGACCAAACCTGAGAAACTCCAAATTTGAATGCCTAGTGTTCATTCTGCACTTAAAAAAATTGTTAGCTCCATCAGTGCAGGGTATTGTCTCTCTCGTTCCCGAATATATACCTAGAAAGTGCCTGGAAGATAGGAAATGCCCAATAAATATTTATAAATCCACCTTTAGAAGAGGAACCAAATACAACCCCACCCCTGATTATATTATTTCTACATAAGGGATCAGAAAAGATGTCAGAAAGTAGTTGAAACCCATTTGAATTCAATTCTGTAGCACCCTGTTTTGCGTCAAATCTAGTCTGCTGGTCTGGCTGCAGTACCCCGAGAAACACAAACTGGAGATACGCAACGCCCAGGGAAGTGCTGCTAAGGATGGCTGTGACTCAGGACCCCTGAAATTTAGGAGTCACTGATGCTTGTAGGATGCAGGCAAGGAATCGATTTTGCGACAACACAATTAAGCTTTGGAAAAAATAAGTAATTGTAGAATTGAGAAAACATGGCTGTCTGAAAAGGGATCATCTGGGTTTACCTGGGATAGCCCCTATCTAGGCCTGTTGTCCCAGAATAATTACTAATAGAGACTGCTTTAACTTTTCAAAGTCCTGGTTAGAGTAACTTTACTCTTCTCTTTTTTTTTTTGTAAACAGCTTGATAAATTTAACTTTTTACTTCATATTAGAGTAAAGCCAATTAACCAAGTTGTGATGGTTTCAGGCGGACAGCAAAGGGACGCAGGCGTGCATACACATGGATCCACTCTCCCCCAAACTCCCCTCCCATCCAGGCTGCCGCGTGACATTGAGCAGCATTCCCTGTGCTATGCAGTAGCTTCTTGCTGGTTATCCATTTAAAACATAGCAGTGTGTACATGTCCTTCCCAAACTTCCTAACTAGCCCTCCCCTCTTCCCATCCTCTCCCCCGTGGTAAACATAAATTCATGAGAAAAACTCTCTTCATACATTACTGAAAGCTTAGGAAATCCCAGTATTAAGGAAAAGGTTGAGCATTCTGCCCATCCCCGGGTAACTTATAAGGGTGAATTTGTTCTATTTTGTTTTAAAATGGTTTTTAATATGAAATATGGTGAATAGCAGCCTCAGGATAACTAACAAGAAAAACTGTCATGCACCTATTCATTTCTCAGCTGCCGGGCACCTGGCACATGACTACAAGCTGAGCACGCTTGATCAACAACACAGTTCACAGCAACCTTGGAAGCTTGAATCTGCTTACAGAGAAGGAAACGGGCTTAGAGAAGTTACGCAACTGCGTTAACAAAGATTTGACAAGAGTGGAGCGTATTCCATGGATAAAGAAGCTGTGGTACATGTATTCAATGGAATATTACACACCATTAAAAAGAATGAAATAATGCCATTTTCAGCAACAGGGATGTACCTAGAGAGTGTCATACTGAGTGAAGTCAGTCAGAAAAGGAGAAATATCATATCACATCCCCCCATAAAGCTAAAAGCAATGATACAAAGGAACTTACTAAACAGAAAGAGACTCACAGACTTAGAAAATGAACTTATGGTCACCAAGGAGAAGGATGGGGGGAACGGATAGTTAGGGATGGATATGTCCATCCCCAAGTATGCACACACTGCTATATTTAAAATGGACAACCAACAATATATATATAATATATATTTGCTGTCATCACTGTGGTCTTCCCTCACTGATTCTAGCAGAGTACTCACAATACTGTGGATTGACTGATTTATAACTATGACTAGCCATTTACTGATTTTAGAGTGGCTTACAGGTAACTTATAAGGGTGAATTTGTTCTATTTTGTTTTAAAATGGTTTTTAATATGAAATATGGTGAATAGCAGCCTCAGGATAACTAACAAGAAAAACTGTCATGCACCTATTCATTTCTCAGCTGCCGGGCACCTGGCACATGACTACAAGCTGAGCACGCTTGATCAACAACACAGTTCACAGCAACCTTGGAAGCTTGAATCTGCTTACAGAGAAGGAAACGGGCTTAGAGAAGTTACGCAACTGCGTTAACAAAGATTTGACAAGAGTGGAGCGTATTCCATGGATAAAGAAGCTGTGGTACATGTATTCAATGGAATATTACACACCATTAAAAAGAATGAAATAATGCCATTTTCAGCAACAGGGATGTACCTAGAGAGTGTCATACTGAGTGAAGTCAGTCAGAAAAGGAGAAATATCATATCACATCCCCCCATAAAGCTAAAAGCAATGATACAAAGGAACTTACTAAACAGAAAGAGACTCACAGACTTAGAAAATGAACTTATGGTCACCAAGGAGAAGGATGGGGGGAACGGATAGTTAGGGATGGATATGTCCATCCCCAAGTATGCACACACTGCTATATTTAAAATGGACAACCAACAATATATATATAATATATATTTGCTGTCATCACTGTGGTCTTCCCTCACTGATTCTAGCAGAGTACTCACAATACTGTGGATTGACTGATTTATAACTATGACTAGCCATTTACTGATTTTAGAGTGGCTTATGCAGATTGAGGAAATCAAAGATGCCCCGTGGTGACTTAGAATCAGGGGGGAAGGGTGCAGGGAAGGGATAGTTAAGGGGTTTGGGATGGACATGTACACACCGCTATATTTAAAGTGGATAACTGACAGGACCTACTGTAGGGCACAGGGAACTCTGCTCAGTGGTATGCGGCAGCCTAGATGGGGGTTTGAGGGAAGAATGAATCCATGAACATGTATGGCTTAGCCCCTTTGCTGTGTACCTGAGACTATCACAACATTGTTAATTAGCTGTACTCCAATACAAAATAAAAAGGTTTTTTTGAAAAAAGTGTATCTTATTTCAAGGCCCATCATTCCAACAACTGCTAGACACCCAGACTCCCCAGGTGAGGGGTCTCAGAACTGTCCTTTCCTCAGTACCAGCCAGAGAAGTCCCTGAAGCCTCTAGAGAACCATCTCTAGCCATGCCCAAAAACAAGACTCCTAGTTCAGCTGGAAAACTCAGCTCATCCCATCTGTTGAATCAGCACTGCATCTGAAGCAGGAATGAAAACACTTACAGAGCATATTGCAACAAAAACTAAAGCCAGGTGTCCTCTAGCAAGTCATCAAGCTTCTCTTGGACTTAGTCCCTCTGTAGACAGTGAAGGTGATATAACTCACAATCTCTGTACCTTCCCGGATTTAAACTCCTAGGACTCCAGCTATGACTCACCCAGAGTAATCAGCTTTATTGCCCGGGTGACACGATACTGCTTTCCCAAGTGTGTGTACGATGCATGACACATATAGTGCCCACCATGTGCTGTGTTCACATTTGTGATGATCAGTTTGTTTGTTACTCCAGCAAAATTTACGTTGTCAAGAAGTAGAGGCTTGCAATCCTAGACAGGGGGAAAGGCAGTATTGAAAACCAATTATTCATATTTATATTCATGTAAGGACAACCCACCCCAATATTCTTGCCTGAGAAACACTATGGACAGAGGAGCCTGGTGGGCTACAGTCCATGGGGTCACAAAGAGTTAGACACGACTAACCGACTAGAACACACATCCATGTATATGTAAATAGAAAGGTGCTTGCACAGAAGCTTTAATTTTGCTTTTTTTTTTTGGCAAAGTCATAATTATATTCCCAGGATGTTACATTTTTATGCCTATGAGTCTTGCACTTTGAAGACAACTGGAGACCAATCTACTTTGTAAGAAAAAAATGTCTGAGGACAGAATGCTAACTACAGTTTCTTAGTAATGATATACTTTCATTCTGCACTGATATTTTATATTTTTAAACCTCTAAAAAATGATTATCCATGTAAGCTCCAACAAGCCAGGTAGATCAAAGATACCAGAATATGATGTATTCCATGCAGTACTAGCTGATCACTTTTCAGTTACAAAAACCACTAAAGTTATCTAAGGACCACTTAATATTTATAATAAAACATTAAATAATATACTTTATAACAAATAGTCACTTTAAAAAACCCTATATTTACAATCATCCTTATCTTTAAACATCTTATATGCCCACTATACTTTTCTCAGCTGTACCCTATTAAACAAAAATGACAGAAAGTAAATTTTTAGTTAAGCTGCAAATTAAATGCATATAATCATAAAACTTTAAAAATGTTCTACTAAGTTTCACCACTCAAAAGCAAATAATCAGCCAAATGAAAAAGTACTTTGCAGATTCATCTTATTGTCTATGAGAGCAAACTGTTTTCTTTGCTAGAGAAGTAAAAGGCCAAATGTAATAATACAAAGTTACCTTATACCAGTGTACTTGGGGTAACTCATTGTTTTCATCTTTTAAAAAGTCCAAGTAAGGACATACAAGTTGCCCATCTCCCGCAGTCAGTAGTCTCTGGGTAAACACAGTTCTTTCATTGTAACACAAGTTAGGTTCATGCTTCACAAACTCTGCCACTATTTTAATTTTGAGGCAGTAAGTTGAATTTCTAAAATAAATCAAAATAGGTTCATTAAAAATATTTTTTTTTCTGTCCTGAAGTATTGCAGGTACAGACACCACATGTTTGTAATGTGTTTATCACTTGCTTACCTCACTGAGCAATAGTAAGCTCCTGAATCCTCCACTTCAGCAGGAACAAACCAGAGCTTGTCTTTGTGCTGATGAATCCTAGATTCTCTTTCTGTAGATACAGGTGTTGTGCTGTCATTTTTATACCAAGTTATAGGCTCTTTGTGCACACTTGTGATAAGAGGACACGAACGAGCATCAATTTCATGTGCGGGTGAAACTAATGTAATTTTCTCTTCATGTTCCTCACATTTATCTTAAAAAAGGAGAAAGGGAAAGTCATTTCTGTACGAAATTCGTCAACATTTCTTCATGGAATACCTAAATAAAAACACCAGCTATTAAATGTATTAATTTGTGTTGTACAGGAGAGTGTTAAGAACCTGACGGTTAAGAGAATTATCTTGGAAGTCTGCAAGATTTCTAGTCACTTACTACCTGTGTTCTTGAGCAAGTTATTTAACCTCTCTCATCCCCTCTGTATAGCTGTTTCAGTAAAAAGACGGAATAACCGTAATTTGCCCTCCCACCTGAACAGCTAAAAATAATGGACAAAGTATATGAAACAACAATGTTCAAGACACTGAATGTCAGGGAACAAAGGACCGAAATACCAGAAAGTCAGGACACAAAAGGAAGGGAACCCTAGAGTCTTCCCAAATTACTGTGTAGAGGGAGATTCTAAACCACGGCACTGCATGGAGGAGAGCAGGCAAAACCCAGTGTTCTTTCTTGAATTGAGGAGATGGAGCTGGGAATCCAGGTAAACCAAGAGACCAGCGGGCAGGATACCAAAGAGATTACAGCTGCACCCAGAGAATGAGTGAGTTCTGGAGGATACAGAGTTGAGCATTCCTCAATCCATGTAACATGAATCCCTGAAGGACAGGAGAGGGCCTGCCTTCCTGGAATAGGAAAAGTCTTTGAAGAAATACAAGTTGAAAATTTCCAGGATTTTATGAAAATGACATACCCACAGACCCCAAAGTCACAATGATCCCCAAGCCAAAGAAACATGAAGAAAACCACACCAAGTAAGACAAAAATGATGCAGCCTTCTTACCAGAAACAATACAAGCCAGAAGAGAGAAGAATAAAGATAAGTACTAAATGGAAAAAAAAAATCATCTACCTAGAATTCTACATCCAGGGAAAGTACCTTTCAGAAATAGAGGCAACACTGTAAAACTCAAGTCAGACAATTGATAATACCTAGTTAACAATATTCACCCCTATTCCATCATCACAGAAAACACATAATATCAGTATGCTCCATTTTCAGTGATGCAAAACTGGATCATCCAGCTACATTTTATCCTCCAGGTCTTCCAACTATAGTGTCTCTTTTCAATTAATAAGCAATTTGGAAGGTGGTACTTTGAGATTATGTGCATACTCTATAAATATTTTTCACTCAATTATTTTTGTATTCACTGATTGTCTGGCTTGAATAAATTATAGAGGCAGAAATAGAGGCAAAATAAAGAAATAGAGGCAAAGTACTTTTTCATACTTTGAAAATATTACTTTTTTATATTTATTTTCATACATATATAAACTATTACCAGCACACACTTGTACTGCCAAAAATATAAGGAGGTCCTTTAGAAAGAAAGAAAAATAGTATCAGATAAAAAACAATGAATCTACATAAAGGAATAAATAGTCCCAGAAATGCTTACTACATGGGTAATCATAAAGTTTTTCATTTTATTTAAATCTCTTTAAAGATAACTAAAGATCACTTCATGGCAAACAGACAGGGAAACAATGGAAACAGTGATAGACTTTATTTTTGCAGTCATGAAATTAAAAGATGCTTGCTCCTTGGAAGAAAAGCTATGACAAACCTAGACAGCATATTAAAAAGCAGAGACATTATTCCAACAAAGGTCAATATAGTCAAAGCTATGGTTTTTCTGGTAGTCACGTATGGGTATGAGAGATGGACCATAAAGAAAGCTGAGCACTGAAAAACTGATGCTTTTGAACTGTGCTGTTAGAGAAGACCCTTGAGAGTCCCTGGGACTGCAAGGAGATCAAACTTGTCAATCCAAAAGGAAATCAGTCCTGAATATTCATTGGAAGGACTGATGCTGAAACTGAAGCTCCAATACTTTGGCCACCTGATACAAGGAACTGACTCATTGGAAAAGACTCTGATGTTTGGAAAGATTGAAGGCAGGAGGAGAAGGGGATGATAGAGGGTGAGACGGTTGGATGGCATCACTGACTCGATGGACATGAGTTTGAGCAAGCTCCAGGAGCTGGTGATGGACAGGGAGGCCTGGCATGCTGCAGTCAGTCCATGGGGTCGCAAAGAGTCAGACACTACTGAGCAACTGAACTGAACTGAAAGATAATTAAATATTTAAAGCAAAAACCATGATTGTGAGACGTATAACATCTGAAAGAGTAACATGCATGGAAACAGTGGGGGAAAGTTCGAGAAGGGAGAAGTGGATGTGTTCTAGGTTTTTATACTACTTGTGAACTGGTACAATCACTTGAAGGTATATAGTGATGTTAAAGATGGATACCATAAGCACTAGGGCAGCTATTTTTTTAAAGTTATTATAAGCCCACACAGAAGATAAAATAAATCATAAAAATTCTCAATTTATCCAAAAGGCAGCAAAAAAAAAAAGAGAGAAAAGATAACAAAGAATTAATAGTACAAGGAGAAAATAAAATCACAAACTCCTAAAATAAAATCCAAATATACTAATAATCATATTACATTTTTTTTCATGGTCTAAGTAACCCAATTGAAAGGCAGAGATAGTCAGATTTGATTTAAAAAAAGGATCCTACTATATGCTAACATACATACAAACCCACACATATACACACTTTAAGTGTAAAAACACCTTAAAAGTAAAAGTGGAGAGGGGAAATATTATGTTAATTAAAAGAAGATTTGAATGGTTATTACATTATTGTCAGAGTAGATTTTACACTAAAGCATATTTCCAGGGGTAAAAAGTCATTTAATTATGACAAAGGAGTCATTTGTCCAGAGGTATATGGTAATCTCAGACATTTATTCACCTACTGACAGTGTTTCAAAATACATAAAGCAAAGACTGATAGAACTGCAAAAAGAAATAGAGAAACCTACAATTAGAGTCAAGAGATTTCAGCACTACTCACAATAACTGATAGAACGGGTAGAACAATTAGACAGAAGATCAGCAATGATGTAGAAGATTTGAACCATACTATCAACCAATTTGGCATAATTAGTATTTACAGAAAATCTTACCCAACAACCAAATACACATTCTTTTTAATTGCACACAAGACAATTTATCAAGATAAACCATATTCTTGTTCAAAGCCAACAGTGAACAAACTTAAAATGGTTCAAAGTATGTTCTCTGGTGACAGCTGAATTAAATTAGAATTCAGTAACAGAAAAATATCTAGGAATTCACTGATGTGTTTAAAAACTTTAAAAAAAATTATAAATAACCCATGCATCAAAGAAGAAACAAGAGGAAATTAGAAAATATTTTGATCTGAATGATAAAATACAACATATCAGCACTTGTGTCATACAAAGGAAAAAATACCTAGGAAGTCAATAGCATTAAATACCTCTGTAAGAAAACAGATCTCAAATTAATAACTTCAGTTTCCACTTAATAAATCAGGAAAAATTAAAACCGAAGTAAGCATAAGACAGTAAATGATATGGTTCCAAGAGAAAAATCAATGAAATAGAAAACAAAAACAAACGAGAAAAATCAAAGATAACAAAAGCTAGTTCTTTCAGAATATTGTAAATCAACTATATTTCAATTAAAAAAAATTTTTTTAAGGAAAAAACCCAACAACAAGAACAACAAAAATTCAAGCTTAGATGGTTTCACTGGTATATTCATAGAACGAAAACACCAATTTTACACAAACTCTTTCAGAAAATTGAAGAGTCAGATACACTTTCCAATTCACTCTATGAAATAAGTATTATTCTAATTCCCAAACCAAAGACATTACAGGAAAACCAAACTAGTCTTCATCATAGAATATGATGCAAAATTTTTTTAAATATCTTAGCAAATCAAATCCTACAGTATATTAAAAACTGAGAGTATACTCTGAGGTACATAACATGCTAGGAATGCAAAGTTGGGTTCTTATCCAAGAAAAACAGCAACAAACAAAACTAGAAATAGGTGGGAACTTCCCAAACCTAATAAAGGACAGCTATAAAAAACTTAGAGCTATCATATATAAGATGAGCAAGAAGGTTAAGATTGTCCACTCTAACCACTTTTATTCAACATTGTGTTGGAAGACCTAATTAGTGTATTAGGGCAAGAAAAAGAAATGGCATTAAGACTGAAGGAGAAAATAAAATGTCTATTTGCACATGACATGATTATCTATGTAGAATATGCTATGAAATCTTTAATATGCAAAGAAATCTACAAAAGATCTAGAGGGGTTCTTCACTTGTAGGATATAATATGAATATGCAAATAGGAATGAGTTTATATTATCAATACCTTTTATAATAGCCTCAATAGATATATTTTTTAAGGAAAAAACCCAACAACAAGAACAACAAAAATTCAAGCTTAGATGGTTTCACTGGTATATTCATAGAACGAAAACACCAATTTTACACAAACTGTTTCAGAAAATTGAAGAGTTAGATACACTTTCCAATTCACTCTATAAGTATTATTCTAATTCCCAAACCAAAGACATTACAGGAAAACCATAAACTAGTCTTCATCATAGAATATGATGCAAAATTTTTTTAAACATCTTAGCAAATCAAATCCTACAGTATATTAAAAACTGACAGTACACTGTGAGGTACATAACATGCTAGGAATGCAAAGTTGGGTTCTTATCCAAGAAAAACAGCAACAAACAAAACTAGAAATAGGTGGGAACTTCCCAAACCTAATAAAGGACAGCTATAAAAAACTTAGAGCTATCATATATAAGATGAGCAAGAAGGTTAAGATTGTCCACTCTAACCACTTTTATTCAACATTGTGTTGGAAGACCTAATTAGTGTATTAGGGCAAGAAAAAGAAATGGCATTAAGACTGAAGGAGAAAATAAAATGTCTATTTGCACATGACATGATTATCTATGTAGAATATGCTATGAAATCTTTAATATGCAAAGAAATCTACAAAAGATCTAGAGGGGTTCTTCACTTGTAGGATATAATATGAATATGCAAATAGGAATGAGTTTATATTATCAATACCTTTTATAATAGCCTCAATAGATATGAGTAATTAAGGATAAATCTGACAAAAGATGCATCAGACCAATCCAATGAAAATTACAAAATAAATTTATAAAGATTAAATTTATTTAAATAAATGTTAAGAGATCAAAGACAATGAAGATGTCTATACTTCATTCTTTGATCAGAAGACTCAATATTGCTAAGTAGTCCAATCTCTCTAAACCAATTTATACTCATTTCAATATTATCTGGGATTGTGATGGTTTCACGGGTGCATATGTATGCCAACACATCAAATTGTATACCTTAAACGTGTGGTTTATTGTGAGTCTATTATAACCTCCTTTAAAGCTGCTTAAAAACAGTATTGAAACAAAAGTGGCTAAGGCGCTCAGCATGATACCTGCATTGAGCCAGGACTGCTAAGTATTTCACTCCTAGGAATAGCAGTAGCAACAACAATTAACAGTGATAAAAGAGTAAGCCTGAAGAACTCAGTTCAACACACTCTCCTGTTTACCTGGGGTTTGCCCCACGGCTCCACCAAAACTGTCCTGACTTGGTCACCGATGGCTTTTAAGCTGCTAAATCAATGGCTTTCAAATATCCACTTACTTACATCTGCACTGCTCTGTTGCTGTCACCCAGTCGTGCCTGACTCTTTGCGACCCCACGGACTACAGCACGCCAGGCCTCTCTGTCCTTCACTACCTCCCAGAGTTTGCTCAGATTCATGTCCATTGAGTCAGTGATGCCATCCATTGCACTGGACATGTGCTATCCTCATCCTTAACAGGTTCTTCACTTGGTTTCCAGGAAGCCTCCTACATTTGGTTCTCCTTCTGCACTTCGGGCCAGTCCGTCACTGGCTCTTGGATGAGTAGGAGCCTGACCACCCATTCTTGGAGAGCTGCAGGGTTCACTCCTTGACGCTCTGTTCTTTTCTAACCACCCTCACTCCCCATCGAGTCTCAGAGTTCTAATACCACCTGCTTGCCAAGGTCTTCAACTTTATCCCTCTAATCTCTAGCTCCAGACTGCTTAATCAAATCACTATGTAGATATCTAATGGACAGCTATTGTGGTGCTGGAGAAGATTCTTGAGAGTCCCTTGGATAGCAAGGAGATAAAACACAGTCAGTCCTAAAGGAAACCAACCCTGAATATTCATTGGAAGGACTGATGCTGAAGCTGAAGATCAATACTTCAGCCTCATGATGTGAAGAGCTGACTCATGGGAAAAGTCCCTGATGCTGGGAAAGATTGAGGGCAAGAGGAGAAGAGCGTGGCAGAGAATGAAATGGTTAGATTATACCACTGACTCGATGGACATAAGTTTGAGCAAATTCTGGGAGATGATGAAGGAACAGGGAAGCCCAGCATGCTACAGTCCATGGGGTCACAAAGAGTCAGACACAACTTAGCAACTGAACAAGAACAACCACCTTAACATGTCCAGTCTGAACACATGACCTTCCTCCCGCTCATCAACAGCAACTCCACTTTGCATGTGCTCAGGCTAAAACCCTCTGTCCCTTACATCCATATCCACTCTATCTGAAAATCCTCTTGGCTCTGTCGTCAAAGTATATCCAGACTCTGACAACTCAATTCTCCTTGTCACCCTTGAAAAGCTGACCTTCATAGCTTGCCTGAACCACTGTAACCACCTCCTAACTGGCCTATTTCTTCCTTTGCCTCCCAATTGCCTGCTCACAGTATAAGAACCAGAATGAGCCTGTAAAATACAGAAATTTCCTGGCAGTCCAGTGGTTAGGGCTCCACACTTTCACTGTGGAGGGCCTAAGTTCGATCCTTGGTTGGGGAACTAAGTTCCCACAAGCCATAGAGTGCAACCAAAAAAAAAAAAATCACCTCTCTAGGTTTAAACAGGAAACCTACACAGTCTTTCCATTTCAGAGTACAAGCCAAGATCCTTAGAAAGGTCACTAAATTCTCTACATGGCCAACCCTCCCCCAACCCCCATCATTCAAATCAGACCCCTCACCTTTCACTCTATTCCAGGCACAGCAGATTTCAGTACCTGGAGCATGCCAGTACTCCTGGCCTCAGGACCCTGACACAGGCTGCCTAGACTATTTCTCCACCCCAACCTGGTCTATATAGCTCCTTCCACCCCCTCCTTCAGGGTCAAGTCAACTTCTTAATGAGATCTTTTCTGGCCACACTATCAAAAAAAAATGTAACCTTCTGCCCACCCCAACCCCAAAATTTATACCTTCCTTTTCCTGCTTTTTTTTCTCTCTACACTTACCAACATATGACATAATATATATTTACTTATCTAAGGTATTGTCTCTGTCCATTACTGGAATGTAAACCCCATGCAGACAGATATTTCTGTCTGGATCATTCATGGCTGTGCCAGTAGCAGTGCCTGGCACATAGTAGGGCTAAATGCATTTTCAGTAAGAGAGGGAGAGGGGAAGAGTGAAGATGAATAAATGGAGAAAATAAAGAACTGTCAGCTGTGGGTTCATAAAGACTGCATTTTACACCTCTTCCAAATGAAAACCAGGAGCCTCCGGATTATACTCTTAAACAGCAACAAAGTGGGGAGAGACCTGGACTAGACATTTGTGGCATGGATTACAGCTCTTGCTCTAAAATAGCCTCATGACCGTGGGCTCCTAACCTCCCTGGGCTTCAGCTTCCCAATGGACAAATGAGAGAATGAAAAGTAAAGATGTTGAAAGGGTATCCAGCGATACAGTTCTGTGACCTGGAAATCCACAGACACAGGTAAGAAAAATGATGCTGTTAAGGAAGGTACCACAGGTATTCTACGTAACAGATTTTCTTAGCAGACAGGCACAAGGAAATGCTTTACTCACCGGCCTCCAGAGAAGGAATCAGTAAAGTGATGACACAAAGAAGCCTGAGTAATACTTTCATATTCTCCTGGAGAAACAAACAAACAAAAATTTTAAGTAACTATTCCCCCCAAATCTCTAAAGCTACATACATTGACTCCCCACCTGGCTTCACCCTCACCCCCAAGTCACACTGATGGGCTAGTCTCCCTACATCATTTATGTGATCATGCTTTGTGATGCAAGATGGATAAAAGGAGGATGAAGACTTTTAACAGAATTGGGGACGAGCTGACACAATTAAAGATGACCAGAACTTCCATCATTTGTGCCATCATTCATTTCCATTTAATTTCCCCCAAATCCAACCTATGCTACACCCCAAGTAGACTACTCACTAGACCATAAAGCATCTTGCCTCTACTTATATGGATCTGTTCCCCACCTAGAACATAGTCACTGTCAGGACCCATATGCAAAGCCCCAAACTTCCATATCCTGCAAAAGGTCACACCTTCCCTTTATAATGTATGACATTAAACCCTTTGGATGAAATGGCACAGCTGCATAGAAATGAACCAGAAAGACCAAAAGAAGCAATAACAATATATTACAATTGGGTTGGTCCTTATGATTGGTTGTCTTCTCCTTTTCTGGGGCTTGCTAGAGCTTTCGATTTAAAATTTCTACAATAAACATGTATTAATTTTACCACAAAAAAATAAAACCTCCACAGCCCTTCTGCATATTTAGAAGCCACACCAACAGAGCAACAGCTACAACAGGTATTGATCAGCCACTGGGCTATGTATTAAACCGAGGTCCTGGTGGTGGTTCAGTCACTAAGGCGTGTGCAACTCTTGCGACCTTGTAGACTGTAGCCCACTAGGCTCCTCTGTCCATGGAATTTGTCGGGTAACAATACTGGAGTGGGTTGTCATTTCTTCCTCCAAGGGATCTTCCTGACCCAGGGACAGAACCCAGGTTTCCTGCACTGCAGGCAGATTCTTTACAGACTGAGCCACCTGGGAAGCCCCTGGTAACCTGTGATTTTAATTTCATAACATTTTATCCATATACATGGCAGGGGGCATAATCAGGTCAAGCATTTGACTGATGCCAGAAGGAAAGCATGCCCAGGGCTTTATCCATTAAACATCACTAAAATAATATCAATTGGAATTGAAAAAGGAAAAAAAAATGCTCCTTTTGCCTACCTTTCTAAATTACTCAAGCCCACATGAAGTAATGTTCAGTATGGCCCCTTTCCTTTCGGAATGTTCCTGTTCCGTACTCCTGAGGTGGCGGCAGGGGGTGGGGGTGGGGTTGCAATTATGTGCACCAAACTCCAATCTCATGCTTCCAATGAATTTATGAAAGTGAGAAAAGTGTCAATTCACTCAGTCATATCTGACTCTTCGTGACCCCAAGGACTATAGCCCACCAGGCTCCTCTGTCCGTGGGATCTCCCAGGCAAGAATCCTGGAGTGGGTTACTATATCCTTCTCCAGGGGATCTTCCTGACCCAGGGATTGAACCTGGGTCTCCTGCATTGCAGGCAGATTCTTTACCATCTGAGCCACGAAGGAGGCCCCTAATGTACAAATTTATCCAACAACCTATGAATTCCTCATATTCCACAGGCCTCAGACCAGATTTATTCTCCCCACCAACCGTGCTCCCCACCTCAGTGATAGGGACAACTCTGCCACGTGCGCGTGCACACACGCATACTCTGCATACACACATGCACACACACACACTGTGTGCACGCACACACACACACTCTGCATGCACGCACGCGCATACACACACACAGCATGCACACGCGTGTATGCGCACACACACACACACCCCCAATGAGAGATGCCGGCTCAGTGACCCTGACGCCTGCCACCCCAGAGCTGCTCTCGCCAGCACTAACCAGTCGATCTCCAGGGATTACCAAACTGGTTGAACCAGACATTACCAAATGATCAAGTCAAAACACCTGCGCTGGCTCCCAGTGCGCCCCAAACAGTCCGCAGCCCTGAGCACAGCTCCGTGCGGAGGCTCTGACTGCTCCCTTCAGACGCAAGCCTCCGCCTCCCTGTCCCCCCTCCCGTCCGCTGTCAGCCTTCGCCTTGCCCTGTGCTCCAGCCCCGGGGCCCTTGGCTCTGCCCTGCACCTGCCAAGGTGCCTCCCAATCCATCCAGTCTCAGCCAGGGTCACCCTCCTGCCACCACCCCAGGGAGCCCCCAGAACACTTGCCTGGCTATTCCTTCCTCCTCTGGGCCCCCACAGCCACCAGCATGAATGTAATAACACATGTCATGGCCGTTACCCCAGGACAGGAAGCCCCACGGGGACAGGAACCACAGCTTCCCTATCGCTGCATCCAGCACTGTGCTGAGCTGGGAATTCAGAAGCCCATGATAAGTGCTCACAGAATGAGTGAGAAAATGAACTAAAGAAATAGCTGTCCTCTATACCCAACCTTGGGGGCAGTGTCCAGGGCAGAGCAGACCATATAATCTCATGCTTTGGGGAAAAATCTGTCCTTTTAGTTTTACAGAAGATGAGACTTGCCTACATTTTTTCCGTAGCCATAAGTTAAGTAACACAAAATATTTTAACTAAGACATCACAAACCCAGATTCTAATAACATGAAATCATTAGAATATTAGCTGAAAAATATTCTATTTAAAGGGGGAAGGGAGGGTGAGACAAATTGAGAGAGTAGCAGGGAAACATATACATTACTGTTTGTAAAACAGATAGCTAGTGGGAATTTGGTGTATGACACAGGGAACTCAAACTGGAGCTCTGAGACAACCTAGCGGGTTGGGATGGGGTGAGAAGTGGGAGGAGGTTCTGTAGGGAGGGGACATATGTGCACTTATGACTGATTCATGTTGATGCATGACAGAATCCAACACAACATTAAAACGCAATTATCCTCCAATTAAAAATGAATTTTTAAAAGTGGTATTAAAATGTATAAAAATGTTACAATGTGCTTTTAAAATACAGGCACACCTTATTTTATCGCACTTCGCTTTACTGTGCTTCACAAATGTTGTGTTTCATTTTTTTAAAACAAATTCAAGGTTTGTGGCAACCCCTCGTTGGTCCCATCTCTTGGCACCACTTTTCCAACACCATTTGCTCCTTTCATGTCTGTGTCACACTTTGGTGATTCTCACAACATTTCAAACCTTTTCGTTTCTATTATGTTTATGCTCATCAGTGATCTTTGATGTCACTACTGTAATTGGTTTTGGGGTTACCACGAACCATGTCCATAAAAGACAGCAAACTTAACTGACAAATATTCTGTGTGTTCTGACATCTCCATCAACTGGCTGTCCCTCAATGCTCTCCTTGGGCCTCCCTGTTCCCGGAGACACAACAATATTGAAATCAGGCCAACTAATAACCCTACAATGGCCTCTAGGTGTTCAAGTGAGAGGAAGAATCAATGTGGCAAACGTCACTGTTGCCGTATTTTAAAAAATTGCCATGGCCATCCCAGTCTTCGGCAACCACTCCTATGATCAGTCAGTAGCCAGCAACATTGAGAGCAGATCAGACCCTCCACCAGAAAAAAGGCTGTAACTCACTGAAGGCTCGAAGATGGTCAGCACTTTCTGAGCAATAAAGTATTTTCTAGTTAAGGTACGTACATCACCTTTTTATTGCTCATTTAACAGACTGCAGTATAGCGTAAACTTTTACATGTGCTATGAAACAAAAAATTTGTGTCACTTGCTTTATTGTGGTGATCTAGAACCCAACTGCAGTATCTCTGAGGTGTGCCTGCAAACGCAGGGAATAAAAGGCATTCTAAGCATGAGAGACCAGCCTCATCTCAGGTGGCACAGTGGTGAAGAATCTACCTGCCAACGCAGGATTTGGGTTTAATCCCTGGGCTGGGAAGATCCCTTGGAGTAAGAAATGGCAATGCACTCCAGTATTCTTGCCCTGGAAAATCCCACGGACAGAGGAGCCTGGTGGGCTACAGTGCTCGGGGTCACTAAGAGTCAGACGCGACTGAGTTACTGAATACACACATACGCGTGCGTGCATGCAAGCCTGAGAAACACCTCCATTCCCATTCTCCTCCACTTACCCTCAGCATGAGGAAAATGATTTCTATACCTGGTTCAAGTCTTGAAACCTACCTCAGAGCAGTAAGGCCACATTCCTTAAATATCCTGTAATTCTGACATTTTATTCACATAAATTAGCCTTTTCCCAAAACAATCAAGATTAACAATATTGTCATCATATTTACCTTTAAACAGTACTTAGATTATCAAATGAGATAGGAGGCTTTGACGCCCTGCCGTCTGGCTTATTAACTCTTTCTGTCACCCCGAGGAAGTGTGTTTTAAATCTCTACAATACAGAGGAAGAAAATAAAGGGTTAATACATTTCCCAATTACCTATTCCAGGCCAATCCATAACCCACATTTGTTTATTAAAAATGAGATAAAGACATCACAAAGTCAACTGAATTCTGCCAGCTGTTAGTTACAAGCTCTGGCTTGCTCGATGAGTAGGCATAGAAGACAAGGAAGGTGCCAAGCTGAATTCATAGTGTGTGTGTCTGAAGATACATCTCCAAATGAATTTGTGGGCAAGCAACGTTTAATAACAAGTCCAAGACCAGTGTGATCTTGGACACAACTCCTCCTCATTCAGTTTCCTCGTCTATACAGGTGATGATGATTTCAGAGCCCTTTGTATCCTATCAGATACATAGAACACTTCCCAGGTGGCTCAGTGGTAAAGAATCTGCCTGCCAGTGCAGGAGACGCAAGAGACATGGGTTCTATCCCTGGGTCAACAAGATCCCTGGAGAAGGGAATGGCAACTCATTCCTGTATTCTTGCCTGGGAAATTCCATAGACAAAGGAAACTGGAGGGCTACAGTGCCTGGGATGGCTGAAGAGTCAGACAAGACTTAGCAACTGAGAATGCACAGCTGCACATACATAAAACACAGGAGACCAACCCCAGGGGTCCAGAGTTTACTTCACCTGTCCTGGAACTGTTCTGGGAAAAAGGAGGCGGTGGAAGACACCCCCTTCCCCTCTACAGGGGACTTTCTGTCCCCTGATGAATCCCTGCCATCCCCAGGACCCTAGGGCCAGGGGACCAGCTCCAGACCATAGGATGGGGTTGAGACATACAACCCAGGAAGCAAGCACAGTGGAGAAGAAGCAGGTAAAGATGCAACATCCAAGGCCACACTAAACATGCTCCCAACCAAAATTAACAAAATCCCCCTGATGCCCCAAAGTGACACAAAAATTCCAAGAGCAAAGCCAAACCAGACTACCTTTCACCCTGAGAGTCCGTGAAAGGCTGGCCAAGTCAGAAAATCCCTCAGCGACATTCGTATTCTGTTGTATGCGAGGCAGAATGGGAGTTCCAGAGGCAAAATAATTTTAAAAATTCAAAATAGAGACTTCCCTGGTTGTCCAGTGGTGAAGACTGTGCTTCCAACACAAGAAGCACAGGTTCGATCCTTGGTCGGGGAACCAGGGACCCCACATGCCTCTCAACATGGCCAAAAATAAATAAAATATAACTTAAAAATTCAAAATAAATCAAGTGAAATATAAAATGAGAACCTGCTCTTCAAGACGTTCACAATTTAAGCATCAGCCACATGTGCAGGAAGATCCCCTGGAGAAGGGAATGGCAGCCCACTCCAGTATTCTTGCCTGCAGTGTCCCATGGACAGAGGAGCCTGGAGGGCTACAGTCCATGGGGTCACAAAGAGTCAGACATGAGTGAGTGACTCACACTTCCCCTTCACTTTCACATGTGATCACAAGATACATCCCACATACCCACACTGGATAGAAGCTCAACCTCTGTGTCTCAGTTCCCCCTTTGGATAAAATTGGAACCGTGCTAACAGTATTTCTCCTTAAAGGACTATTGAGGGGATTAAATGAGCTACCACATGTGAAGGGCTTAGAACACTGTCTCGCAAATGGTCACTCTGAGTTAACTGTTACCAGTCATCTCATGTTCTGATGACAGATATAAGTTCTGGTAAAATTATTTTTAGGTATCCATTCATTTGTTTACTCATTCACTGCTGAATCAATGACTGTATATTGAAGATCTACCACATGCCTTGGAAGGAAAGCTATGACCAATCTAGACAGCATATTAAAAAGCAGAGATATCACTTGCCGACAAACGTTTGTATAGTCAAAGCTATGATTTTTCCAGTAGTCATGTACAGATGCGAGAGTTGGGCCATAAAGAAGTCTGAGCACCAAAGAATTGATACTTATGAACTGTGGTGCTGGAAAAGACTCTTGAGAGTCCCTTGGACTGAAAGGAGATCCAGCCAGTCAATCATGAAGGAAATCAACCCTGAATATTCATTGGAAGGAGAGTTGGACTATAAAGAAAGCTGAGCACCAAAGAATTGATGCTTTTGAACTGTGGTGTTGGAGAAGACTCTTGAGAGTCCCTTGGACTACAAGGAGATCCAACCAGTCCATCCTAAAGGAGATCAGTCTTTGGTATTCATTGGCAGGACTGATGTTGAAGCTGAAACTCCAATACTTTGGCCATCTGATGTGAAGAGCTGACTCATTGGAAAAGACCCTGATGCTGGGAAAGATTGAGGGCAGGAGGAGAAGGGGACGACAGAGGATGAGATGGTTGGATGGCATCACCGACTCAATGGACATGGGTTTGGGTGCACTCCGGGAGTTGGTGATGGACAGGGAGGCCTGGCATGCTGTGGTTCATGGGGTCGCAAAGAGTCAGACACAACTGAGCGACTGAACTGAACTGAACTGAACTGATGCTGAATTTGAAGTGCCAATATTTTGGCCACCTGATGTGAAGAGCTGATTCATTAGAAAAGATCCTGAAGCTGGGAAAGACTGAGGGCAAGAGGGAAAGACTGAGGGCAAGAGGAAAAGGGAGAAGCAGAAGATGAGATGGTTAGACAGCATCACTGACTCAATGGACATGAGTTTGCGCAAACTCCAGAGGACAGTGGAGGACAGGGGAGCCTGGTGTGCTACAGTCTGCGGGGTAGCAAAAAGTCAGACATAATCGAACAGCAACTGCATGCCTATGTCTATGCTTGGTCCTGAGAACAAGACTAGAAATACTGACCCAGGGGCTTAAGGAGCTCACCAGCCAGCAGGGAGAGTGGGCATGTCCACAGAGTCACACCACGATGCGGACAGCTGCCCAGAGCATGTGGTGAGCCTCATGGGGGGTGAGCACAGGGGAGATTCATCACGTTCCTGACCATAAGTCAGAGCTGAGGTGCAAGGCGGCAAAGCTTAGAGAGGCAGAAAGTGCCCAGAACATGCAGATCCTTGCTGAGGAGTGGGGACTGGAATCTGTAGGTGGCAAAACAACCATTGAAAGGTTTTAAGCCACAGAGAGGTGTATGATCAGATTTTCTTTTTTTTTTAATGGAAATTTTGGCACCCACGTGGAATATAAACAGGAGATGGGTGAGGAGGCAGGGAGAGCAGGCAGCCAGGGAGGGGCCTTCCAGGTTGAGCAGGGATGCAGGGATGAGCTGCCAGCAGAGACAGATGGACAGAGTAGGGCATATCTGATATCTGAGACTCACTCGGAGGTGAGCCAGAGAAGCGGTGACTAAGTGGGTCTGGGACCCACTGGCTCTGAGTCACGCATGTGGTGCCAGCAAGGGGCAGGGCAGGGTGAGGCGGGTGAGTTCCAGCACCCACAGAGCCGAGGAGATGCCCACAGGGCTGTCACTCACTGCACCACCAGCCTGGGTCTCCTGAAACCACATGACAGACCCTGAGACCGTGAGACTTAGGTGAAAGTTAAGTGAAACCCACAAGGGATCCAGGACAACCTGGAGTTGAGATAGCTCAGACCTGCCCTTAGGAACATCATCACAAGATCATGGCTGGAGCTAAAGCGGGGTGACCCTGGGAAAGTGGATGGGCAGTGATTCTTACTAGGGTCACAGACCCCTTCAGAAGTCAGAAAAAACCATGGAGCTGTCCCAAAGAAAAACACACCAACAAAAATGAAATATTTTGTATATGGTGGGAGATAGTACAGAACTACCTTAAACACAGTGGGAAGCTTCCGCTGTCGATGAGAGAAGGCAGATGAAGCCCTGGGGTGAACCAGCCTGGTCACTGTGGAGAAGGTCTTTTCCTGTAGGAGGTGGGCCCGCTTCTTAGGAGGGAGTCGGCATTTTCAGTGGCCACAGCTGCCTGGGGCAAGGAAGAGCACACATGAGCGTGAACTTGCATGGAGACGGTTAAGTCATCCACCACTGCACAGGTCTCAAGGTGTCCAAACTAACAAAACAAGCTTGCAAAGCTGAGTCACGCATTTCAAGAGCACGTCCTTTGAGAAAACAGATTCAGGAAATCAAGTCGGGGTGAGGAGTGAGAGGTTGACAACCCCTAGTTTGTTTTAACTAAACACACACACCTGGCACTTTGCTGTACATTGGGGCACAGGAATGAGTCAAACCACCTCAAGGAGCCCATACCTTAAGGCACCTTGAGAATAGTGCTCTGAGAAACTGTCCAGGTGCCAGGAGAAACTTCCGGGCCCTGTATAAAAACAGGCTTCCTCTATGAATTGTCACTCTTCCTTTCCGCTCTTCTTTAACACCTGAGTTCCAAATTACATAATTTGCTACTGAGGTTGTATTGTTCAGTTGCTCCGTTATATCCATCTCTTTTCGACCCCATGGTCTGCAGCATGCCAGGCTCTTCTATCCTCCACTATCTCTTGGAGTTTGCTCAAATCCATGTCCACTGAGTCAGTGATACTATCTAACCATCTCATCCTCTGTTGCCCTCTTCTCCTCCTGCCCTCAGTCTTTCCCAGCGAATTGGCTCTTTGCATCAGGTAGTCAAAAGTATGGGAACTTCAGCTTCAGCATCATCAGTCCTTCCAATGAATATTCAGAGTTGATTTCCTTTAGGACTGACTAGTTTGATCGCGTTACAGTCTGAGGGACTCTCTGTCTGGGTGGCCCTGCACAGCATGGCTTATAGTGTCATTGAGTTATGTAAGCCCCTTCATCACAAGACTGTGATCTATGAAGGGGTACATAATTTGAGAAAACTTCAGAAAGCTGAGATGGGATTGCCCTTCTGTGACATCCTGCAGACATTTCATCATCCACTCCCTGGTCTGAAGTTTACTTTTAGTATTCTGGAGTCTGATATTTTATTTTTTCTTCACTTTCCCTCTTCCTCTTTGCCCCAGAAACTTCTTAAAAGGATTTTCATATCCATGCTGAATGGCCTACCCTCTGCTCCCCCATCTCATGGACCTTGTGAAGTGTGTCACCTAGGCCACCACAGGCTCTTAGTCGCTTCACGTGGGGGACCCCCCCCCCAGTCCCCATCTTACTGGACGGCTCTACAGCACATGGCCCCCACCTGCCCCTGCTCTGACCATCTCCCTGGAATGAGGGCCCAGCCCTTCCCCTCCACCAGCACCGGGCCGTCTCCGCTCCCGGCTCATCCGTAAGCCCTGTGTCCTTCTGCCTCCATGCTACCTCTACAGTGCTTCCCACGACTGTCATTCAGTCCAATCCTTTCTTCTCCTGAGACTTCTGGTCAGCTCTGAGCAGATTCTCTGATCAACAGCCTCTCCCACAGGCTCCTGCATACCCCCTTCCTCCACAGTTAAGAGTGCCGAGTTACACAGGCTCTCCTTGACACCCTGCACTGGCTGCCTCGGGGACACAGGGCTCTGGCCACACTGGGCGGCTCCCCCCGTCCCTGGAGCTCCCTGCCTGGCCAAGAAAGAAGGGTACAGGGCAGACCCACTGCATCTCCTGCACTCCTGGGAGGAGGACCCCCCCTTACACATCCTGCATATGCTAAGAGCTCAATAACACGTGTAGAAGTCAGGGTGGAAGGAGGAAGAGAGGGAGGGAGAGAGGAAGAAGGAACCCACCCACCATCTTTGCACTAGACCAAAAAGGGAGCAACACCCCCCTGGAATGACACAGGGGAAGCATGTGCTGCCCATGAGTCAGAAAACAGGCAGAGGGGAGCCATCCCTGGGGCTGGAGATGGCTGAGACTTGCCCAGGAGAAGGTGGACCAGTGCTTAAGGCGTGGGACAAAGGCTTACAGCTGGAGGGGGCAGGAGGTCCGAGGGAGTGGGGAGCAGGAGCTGGACTGGAGACAGAGCACTTCAACGCCACAAGGAATTCTGGGTCAGCATCACCACCCCCCCTTATCCAGAGGAAACAGCAAAGATTTCAAAGATGGTTTTGATTTTGAAATCGATTTGTAATAAAATTCAATATATCCTTTTATTTTTTTATTTGTTGCTTTTTCTTTGCTGCTTTTAATATGCTGACACATATATGTGGAGTCTATAAAAATGATACAGATGAACTTTCTGCAAACCAGAAATACGGATGCAGACACAGAGAACAAATGTATGGACACCAAGGGAAGAAATGGGGTGGGAGGAACTGGGAAACTGGGACTGACATAGACATACTATCGGTACTATGTATAAAATAGATGACTAATGAGCACCTACTGTACAGACAGGGAACTCTATTCAAAATTCTCTGAGGTGACCTAAATGGGAAGGAAATCTGAAAGACTCCGTACAGCTGACTCACTTTGCTGTGCCACAGAAACTAACAGCATTGTGAAGCAACAAAACACCGATAAAGAAAAATTATCCTTTTAGAAAATATCTACAGTCACTGATTTATTCCACCATGCTATTTCTTTTTTTTTTTCTTTTGGTTTTCAGTCCTGGGTCTGCTAATGTGGTTTTTTTTTTTTTTCCATTTATTTTTATTAGTTGGAGGCTAATTACTTTACATCATTGCAGTGGTTTTTGTCATACATTGAAATGAATTAGCCATGGATTTACATGTATTCCCCATCCCGGTCCCCCCTCCCACCTCCCTCTCCACCC